AAATACAGAATACTATTAGTTGTCAGTGTATATATGGTATTGAATGGACTTACTGTTTAAAATTATATCTTATGGCTTGGTTACTTCCTTTATAATATAAACCTTATTCCAATTGATTTAAAAATAGAAGACTAAATTTTAACTACCATTATTTTAAGGTACGCGTACATTTTAAAAGTTCAATGCAGAATGACTCACAATCTGTTTTATTAACACATAGGTCATTACGAGGAAAAAAATTAATTAAATTGCGGACAAAAATTCTTAAGCTTTTGTGTACTGGTGTGTACTTAATTAAATCTAAATGTGAATTTTGTCCATTGCATTTACACCACGTTTATTTGTTTTAAGACGTTTTTTTTAACCATGTTTTTTACGGTAGCAGGAAAAAATCCCCCCGAAAAAATCTCCTCGAGAAAAAATCCCCCTGGAAAATATCCTCCCCAAAAATAAACTTTTTTTTACTTAAAAATTATCAATAAAATAGTTATATTTATTTATTTTAATAGTTTTATAAAATACTTCATTTTTCATTAAAATGTAAAGTTATACGTTATTCCTCGGTTGTAGGTAAAAATAATAATAAAAAAAAGTCTCCAATTCCTAATATTCTATTTTAAAGCTTTATTTAAAATAAAATTTTAATTTTTTAACTGTAAAACATGCGCGGAATGTTGCTACATTGACTGACTAATAGCCTGACTCGCAACGGAGTGCTGCTATATCGACTGACAAATAGCCTGACTCGCAGCGGAGTGCTGCTACATCGACTTAGGGTTTGAGTTGGGCAGGCAGTCTACCAAATAATTAAAAAATATATATATAAATATTCATATTGTTTTCGTCTAGTTTCACTTAATTTCCTTTTATTTTTTTTTAAATAATTTTTTCGCTTAAAAGTCCTTAAAATATACCGCTAACTTAACTACGATGGTTCGTAAAAAAGTTCACATTTTACCTGTTCGCAGTTCTTCAGGGTTAGGGTTTCACATTTGCTATCTTTGAGTAATAGCGCATAACTTGACATTTTGAAAAAAAAATGAAGTATTTTATATAAATATTTAAAATAAATAAAGAAACAAACATAACTGCATAATGATAATTTTTATGTAAAAAAAAATGTTTTTTTTTTGGGGAGATATTTTCCGGGGGGATTTTTTCCGGGGGGATTTTTTTTCGGGAGGATTGTTTCTCGGGGGGATTTTTTCTCGGGGGATTATTTCGGATTTATAGAGATAAAGAATAGAATCTGGAGTAAGATAAAGAGATGCAACTTTAGCAGATATTAATTTTGCAATGGATTTGACATATGGTTTTCAAGAAAGATCAGAAGTAAGAGTTAATCCTAGAAGATGAAGGGTAGATGACTCATCGAGTGCATTACCGTTAATAAATAAAGGAAGATCTAATTTGTTGCAATAACGATTAGCTAAAGAAAATTGGGTTTTATCTGAATTAAAGTTCACCAGCTACTGTGAGCCCCATGCTATAGCAGAAGTTAGATCTTTTTCAAGCTCAAATGCTTACTCCAAGCAATCAGAGAGTCTTGGCTTTTTATTAAGATAAGAATAAATGGTAGTATCATTAGCAAACAATGCCACCTTATAATTGAGAAATTCTGGAAGATCATTAATGTTAATTAAAAAAAGTATAGGGCCAAGAACAGAACCTTGATAAACTCCTGAAATTACAGGATATAAAAAAAGTGCAGTCCATCGAGAACATTTTTTATACTACGAATGGTAAAGAAGGATTTAATAATCTAAAGATGTTTCCTGATGCACCGTAAGAAGAAAGCTTATGGAGAAGACCAGCATGCCAAGCTTTATTAAAAGCTTTAGAAATGTTAATAGAAATAGCCTTAACCTCTCCACCACTATCTAATGCACGTTAAAAACGTTTACAAATCAGTCTGTTTACAAATCAGCTGTAGAACAAGAAGATCAAAATCTATATTGATGATTAGAAAGTAAGTTATTAGATTCAAGATAACATATTAAGTATTTGTTAATTAAAGTCTCAAAAACCATGTTTATGATAGGAAGAAGACTAATGGGATGGTTGTTAAACGAGTAAAATCGCTCCTCAAAATTTTTGAAAATAGGAATAACAGATGCCGTTTTCCAGCTGGCTGTAAAACAAGACTCTGATAAGCACTTGTTAAATAGTTTTGAAAGTATAGACGACAGCTTCGGAAAACACTTCTGCAAGGCTATAACAGGTATGTTGTCTGGACCACAAACTGTATAGGAGTCTGAGCAGGAAACCACTTTAGATACAGAAGCTGGAGTGATACAAATGTCAAGCAATGGATCAACCTATTTGACGGCTATATCAGGTAAAACGCAAATAGTGGAATTGAGAGACAATATTGATGAAAAGATCTTAGCAAACAATTCAGCTTTGTCTTTAGGTGAGGTGATAAAATCTGAACCATACAAGAGATTTGCCCTTATTATTGATTCTGTTAAAGATTCTCCAAAAGTCACGAGAGCTTAATTTGTGAGATGAATTACAAGATTTCATGACCTGCGGTGTTTAACGTTAGAAAAAACCTTTTTACAATGGTTTCAGGTAATAGTAAACAGGCGTCTGTTTTCTAGAGAATTGTTTTGCTGATAGATATGAAAGTAAAGGTTTCAATTAGAAATTACAGCAGTACAATGTAAGGAAAACCATGGAGAAGAGTGAGACTTGACTTGGAATTGTCGAGAAGGAATAAAAGATTCCATGCCAGCCTGAATTCAAGAAGTTATGTAAGAAGCACATTTGTCAGCAGGAAGACAAAAGATTTTTACACAAAAGCGATCACAAAGAAAATCAAGGAAAAAGTCCCAGTCAGCATTAAGGTAGTTGTAAAAGATACAATGATAAGGGGATTCAGATGGCGAAGAATGAGATTATAGTTTTAGAAAGATCAAACTGTAATCAGAAGCACTAAGGGTAAATATGGGGTAACTGAGCATTGATTAGGATCAGTAACAAGAATAAGTCGAGTAGAGAAGGTAAATGATTCGGGTTGTCTGGAAAACGATTTAGAAAGTTGACTATTTGAATTAGAGCTTCAGAAAGGAAAAAGTTGTAAGCCTTAACGACTGCTGAGTCACTGACACTAGAGCCAAACCGTTCAGTGTGATGAGCATTAAGATCACCGACAACAATGATATTTGCTGATGGATAAAAAGAGAGAGCTTGGTCAATTTGATCATAAAGAACATCAAAAAAAATACAATCTTGAGATGAAGGAGAGCGGTATAGAACAAAGAGAAAGGCGATAGAGTGAACTAGTGCTAAAAGAAAGCACATAAAAGAATAGTCTGTGGATTCAAACCTAGTTTCCCGAAAAATGGGTGTATTCTTACGAATGTAAATGCCTAGGCCAAGCATTTGACTATTGGAGTCTTTACAAATTAAAGATAACCATTAACACTAAGATCACAAGATGAGACAGCCAAATTAAAATTAGTCTAACAAAGAGAAAGTTGGTCTGGTGAACTTTGCAAGAGTTAAGACTCAACAGAAGAAAAGTTACTTCAAAGACCACGAATATTAGTGAATGATAGGTTTAGAGAACTTAGAGATGACGATGGTTTTTTGTGTTTTATAGCTATTGGTACTTTAGTCATTTTTAAATTTGTTAAAGAATTTGATTAAAAGTACAAATAGTACTCAGTACACTATTTAATAGTCCATTGCCTTATTGCTATTAATAAACCCTTAGCCGTAACAAAGGGCTCCAAATGCGGCCTCGAAAATGCACACCAAAAGTACAAACAGGGGCACCATCCACGCGCAACATGATACTGTTAGTACTTTGATATTTTACAGCTGTTGATGGAATCAGCCTCTCTGAGAGCTACCACAGATTTCTGAAAACCTGACTACCAGCCGGCCTCAGAACCATAAAACTGAGTTTTAGAACTGTACCCTCATTAGGAGATAATAGAATGAGTTTTCGAGTCATAAAAACAGAGGCACAAGCAAAACCCGTCAAGAAAATCCAGCATTCAACATCCTAAACTAGAAACAATATATCTTAATTACATCTGTACTCATAAACTTCTTAAGTTCTTTTCCGACGTTTACAATATTTTCATTAATTAAGGTATCTTAAGTAAACTCGATACATTTTTTTGTAAATATTCATTATATTGTTGCAAGTCTTATTGCTTTTTTTTTTTTTTTTTTTTTTTTTTTTTTGACTTTTGAAATTGGTTCGTTATATTTTTTATTAAAAGTAAAATTTTGTTAATTTAAATCGAAGCATTTCCTAATTATATCTTTAAAAGCGAATTTTCATGCACTTTGAACTTGTCCTCAATTATAGTTTCAATTTCTTTTTGCATATCATTTAATAACTTATGTTACATAATTACAGATCCTAACAATTTAATATACAAAAAACTCCTTTTTTTTTTTTTCTTTTTTCTTTTTTTTTTCTTTTCTCTGAAAAATATTTAATTAAATTTTTATTATTTTACATTATTGTCAAATTTTCCGATTAATTTTCCCCTACATCTCCTAGGTACATCCCTGACCCCATTTAACTCTACTTATATAAAAAAAAAAAAATCATAAATTTGTAAAAAATTTATTTTGTCAGCTTTAAAAAAGAATTAATTAAATTGATTCTTTTCATAAAAAGATTTATGTGTTTTGGTTTAAAAAAAGCAGTGGAATTGCTAATTGTAGTGATTGATTTTATTAATCTTTAATTATTTTTATCAATGCTGTGTTTCAGTGCTCTACTTGAAGCATAAAATTTCCAAAACCGCACACGAAATTTCGATAAATATTTACTAGAATTATTTTATTTTAAGAATTTATTTAAAATTGATAATAATTTTTAATACATGTGAATTCATTTTAAAGTGATAAAATTTGTATTCATAGTTTGTATTCAGAAAACATTTCTTTCCGCATTTCATCCTGAAATGTATTGTTGTATCATTTCGTATCCGATACATTTGCCTCGATGAAATTATTAAAACATTTATATCATTTGAAAAATGTTGTATGTGACGGCGTATTGTTTAAATAGTAAATGAAATTGATTTATTTTTTAGGATGAATTTAAGCAATCTTCGTTTGTTATAAATCTTACATATCTTCAACAAAAACAACAAGAAATTAAATAACTGTATTTTTATTTTATTTTTGATGTCTCCGTAGAGCTATGGGTAAGTTAAAAAATTATGCTTTTTTTTTTTTTGACAACGATCAATAAGATAAGAACTTTTGTATTATATAAAGATATATATCTTTATATATATATATATATATATATATATATATATATATATATATATATATATATATATATATATATATATATATATATATATATATATATATATATATATATATATATATATATATATATATATATATGTATATATATATGTATATATATATATATATATATATATATATATATATATATATATATATATATATATATATATATATATATACTGGAATTTTGTTTTTCTTCTCAGATTTAAATGTAGTTAATTATTGTATAAAGCTTCAGGGTATAAAAAAAATGGAGTCATCTTCAGAAGTTAATTGGTTCCAAACTTATTGAATTTTATGTTTTGAATAAATTGATGGTATTTAGACAAAAGGCATACTTAAAGCTGTACTTTTGCCATGAATATTGGATTTATTATGACTAAATAGTGAGAACATGCAAGGAGTGCTGCTACATTGCCAAGAGTTTTGGTTGGCGCTGCAATCATTTTTATATTTTTTTATTTTTTTGGCAAATATATACCTATATATGCCATAGTATATATATATATATATATATATATATATATATATATATATATATATATATATATATATATATATATATATATATATATATATATATATATATATATATATATATATATATATATATATATATATATATACCCTTATAGTGTAGTCGAAAGAGCGTTTTAATGTAAAAAAAGTCTCTTACGACTACAATTTTAATTACCTCGTCTCTTAAGCTGTTTTTGATTGTCATCGAAATGTCAAAGCAATTAATTTATGCGGAAGTACATTAAATTTAATTGTTTTTTAAAATTTTTTTTAAAAACCGCAATTATAACGACTAGAAAGTTTTTTTTAATTAGTTGTGTTTTTGTTATTGATTTAATAAAAAACATTTTTAAAACATGCGTAAATGTTGCTACATCGACTATCTTATAGCCTGACTCGCAACGGAGTGCTGCTACATCGACTGACAAATAGCCTGACTCGCAACGGAGTGCTGCTACATCGACTGACAAATAGCCTGACTCGCAAGGAAATGCTGCTACATCGACTGACAAATAGCCTGACTCGCAAGGGAGTGCTGCTACAACGACTGACAAATAGCCTGACTCGCAAGAGAGTGCTGCTACATCGACTGAGGGTTTGGTTTGGCCAGGCAGTCTATCAATTAAAAAAAAAAATTTAATTTTTAAACTTTTAAATCTTTTTCTGGTCTGGTTTATTAACGCGCTCTTTAAAACTACAGTTTATGGAAAACTTTTTTTGATGCCACGCAAGAGACATGCAAGAGTATATATATATCTATATATATATATCGATATATATATCTATATATATATATATATATATATATATATCTATATATATATATATATATATATATATATATATATATATATATATATATATATATATATATATATATATATATATATATATATATATATATATACATATATATATATATATATACATATATATACATATATATATATATATATATATATATATATATATATATATATATATATATATATAATTATATATATATATATATATATATATATATATATATATATATATATATATATATATATATATATATATATATATATATATATATATATATATATATATATATATATATATATATATATATATATATATATATATATATATATATATATATATATATATATATATATATATATATATATATATATATATATATATATATATATATATATATATATATATATATATATATATATATATATATATATATATATATATATATATATATATATATATATATATATATATATATATATATATATATATATAGAAAATCACTTAACAAAAAGTTTTCATTTAACGCTGTGTTTCATCAATAAAGACTCATCAGAAATCTCTCTCTCTTTCTCAATTACAAGTTACAAATTTTTAGGTGTTATTGTATAGATACAATAACACCTTAGAATTTCTAACTACATATTTAACTACTTATAGAATAAACTTTAAAAGCAAAATAATTATCATTAGTTAATTTTATTTTAGACAAAGTTAATCTAATCTTATCTTCAAAATACTATTAAATAATGGATATAACTATTGAACTGTTTGAATAGAATTTAAACAATAGTTAGAGTTTTTAATAAATATTTTATACATATATTGTATATGAATCATTAGCAATTTTTGTTGGTATGTTAAATTATTAAGTAAAAAAAT